CAGGGACGTGGGGACCCGGTGTGCGGGGGTGGGGGGCCCCCATCGGAGCAGCAGCCGTTTGCCGGGCGCTGCCCCGGGTGAGGCGGTGCGTGTCCCCGTTCCGAGGGGGGGTGTCTCGGGTTAGAGAGGGATGTCTGCGGCGTGAAGAATTGCTCAAGCGCCGGTTTCCATGCAGCCATTCTGCAAATGGATGCCGAGCCCTCTAAGATTTGTGTGATCTACTCCCCAGAGGTGGGAGAATAAGTCAGAGCAAAGTCATTCCTCACGTACCCTGCAAAATAAAAGGACGTGCTTTACACCTCACGGGTGCAGAGGGCAAAGTCCTTCAAAAGTGTGTTCGGGGGTGTCACACATGAGTCATGTTTTAGGGTTTTTTATCCCTTAGCTGACTGTGTGACAGTGGATGCCACACACAGAGGGCTCAGGGACTCGGGGAGTCCCCCCACTCTGACCCTAAGGAGCTAACATGGGTGGACTTTCCGTCAGATCTGGGGACAGTTTGTGTGCCCTGCTGGGCAAGCCCAAGACTGGGGTCAAGGGCGCGGCGCCTGCTTATTCTCAACAAACCGGCACCTCACGGCTTCTGAGCCACACACTGTCCCGATGCTTCTACTGGTGCAGTAGGAGCTGGTGGGGGTGCTGCAGGGTGGAGTGGGGTGCACAGAGCCCACCCCGGTGTCTACAAGCTGGGGACCGCACGCGGCACACGGCCTGCCTCCTTCCGTGCCCCTCTGGGTACGGCCCAGGCTCACAAATCAAGGCTCAGCCCCTGGAGTAGCCCCTGCCAGCCAGGACACACCGATCCCCTCCTGAGGGGACACCTGCTCAGCTGTTCTGAGCTCCGGTTCCTGCAGGGGCCCCCCAATTTAAACAGAATTTACGTTTCCTTGGGCAGGTTTAAGAGAAACCGTGCCCTGCAGTTAGAGGGCGACAGTGGTTTTTAAGGGCCACTGTGGAGTGGCCGTGCCGTGGGTGAGGTGACGGTGGTGACACATCAGGACCGACGCTCTCCAGAGCCGGCCACGTGCAGTGTCCGGCAGCACCACCTACTGCGCACCAGCGTGTGACTTGGGGCAAGTCAGTAGTGTCCCTCGGCCTGGGGACGCGCTGTGGTCTGCACAGCAGGGACAGTAATACCCGCCACGCGGGGACTTGTCTGTGTAAAGGAGGTGGCGTGAGCGAGGCACTCAACGATCGTCTGACTCGTAGCGAAACGCAGCGCGTGGCAGCCACGATTACCATGTGCCGTCTGAACTCTGTGGTCCAAGGAAAATGGCCGTGCTTTCCGTTGACCCTGAGTCCCCTAAACCCTCACCTACGAGGGTCGCCCCAAGCCCGGGACAGGCCGCCTCCCGAGGACTTTCTTCCACGTCTGTTTTCCCCTCCGCTTGCTCGTCCCGCTCACTCCCCTGACCCCGCACTGATTCCAGCACTTCGGTTAACTTTGCTGCTACTCGCAGATTATTTGCCTGGTCGGGTTAGAAGGTTAGTGAGCAAACTGTCCCCGAGCCGTCGGCCCCGCGTCTCCACGGGCCCTCGCCACCCCAAGCAAGAGAAGGGACGGATGGACGCGCACCCTGGGAAGAACACGTTCTGTGACGGAAGCGCTCCGAGTCCGTGACTCGCACTCTGTCACCAGACCCTTCTGTGCCCACTTCATGGGGCTGTCCCAAGGGTCAGAGCAGGAAATGGCCTGAAAACAGCCACCTGCCAGCAGGCGATCGGTGAGCACCCAGCAGACGTGGCTCCCCTCCCCTCCCTCGCCCTGTGGCCTCGAGCCCAGCAAGGAGAACGTCGGTTTTCTGCCCATGCTGTCCCCTCTCAGACGCCTGATGGTGGCCAAGCCAGATCAACACAAGGTTTGGGGGGCGGCGGCCTGGTCCCGTGCTCTCCTCATGATTCTAGTAGATAATAGATTACTAGGAACGGGAAGCTTCTAGGAACGGGAGTGTGACCAAGTAGGAGCCGTGGCCATCAGCACTGACTCCCAAAGAACACCCGCCCTGGGGAAGGGCACTTTTGCACAGACCCCGGGGACCTAGCTGTGTCACAGCCAAGAGCAGAAGTCGAGGTGGCCCGAATTCTTCTGGCTCCCGCGTCTCCGAGGCCGGTTTCCCAGAGAAACGCTGGTTCTGTGCTTCCGTCAGGATCAAGTTCAGTGTGTTTTATTCCGCCGCGTGTGAGAACCGTTCGCGGAGGGCGGTGCTGTGCCCGTTCCCAGGATCCTCCGAGGACCGGGTCCCCTCGGGAGACCACGTGGGGCAGGCGCGTTAGTCGTCCAGCGAGGTGGGGACTGCTTTCTCCCGCTCCGAGGGGCGAAGAGCCGCGGGAGGGAGGAGCACAAGCTTCTCGCGGGCGCGCAGCTCCTCCAGCCGGGCAGGGGGCTGGCCTCGGCTCTTCGTTTGCAGAAGCACGAGGGGAGAGGGCAGGGTCGTGTGCAGGCCCTCGTCGGCCGGATCTGGGTGAAAGGACCTGCAGGGCCCTCGACGGTTAGCTACCGTCTCAGAAAACCTTCGGAGCACTTTTGTGATCAGTGGCTCATCGATGGCCCAGTCACACGCCGGTATCGTCACAGACCTGCGTAAAGGCTAAGTAACCCACGCTGGGGCGCCACGCAGGCGCAGGGAACGGCTGTGAGCAGCCGTGCGAGGCCAGAGGACAGCCCGTGGGGCTGCAGAACCAGACTGCCAGAGGGGCAGGTGGGCACATCCACCCCGAGTGACCCCGGTGGCCAGAAAGAATTACGGTAGCTTGCAAAGTGACTCATTCACTCCGCGGGGGTCCTCTGGGCTCAGAGACCATTCGTCTGGCTGGTTTATCAGGGATTTAGCCGTTGACAGTGGCGAAGGACTCTGATAACCCAGAGATTTGCTTTAGGGTCCCTGGCAGAGGGCCGTGGTTTTGGAGTTGCACTGTCCACGTGTGCGCATATGCGTGGATGCGCGCGCGTGTGGGGGGTCGCACGGAAGTGCTGGACGTGAATCTACTGTCCCCATCTCCCACGGGACAGCTCGCAGTCCTGGGCGAGTCCCGCCCCCTCCGGCCTCAGATTCTTCGGTGGAGAAGGAGGCGGTGGGTGGAAGCGCTCCGCCTCGTCTTCCCCCTGGGAAATCTGGCTTGCCCGGCCGGGTCCCCGAGGCTCCAGGGCTGCTCGGGAGCTGTGGCTTCAGAGGCTCCGCTTCCTCCTCCTCGTGCCCATTCTTTGGGAGGCAGGTCGGACGCCCCCACACGTGTGCGGAAAACCAGACGGCTCACTGTGTACACAGGAGTCCTCCGCCCCTTCTCCTCTGCGGCAGTCAGCTCTGAAACTGCACTTTGTCCAGGAGTGCCGCCGCTCCTCCCCCCTCCCTCCCTCCGCACCCCCCCACCTCTCTCTCTCTCTCTCTCTCTCTCTCTCTCTCTCTCTTCTGTTCATGTGCTATTTCACAAGCAGCAAGTTTGGGAGTTATAATTTCCTCTTTCTCATCCCAATTTAAATGGGAACCAGAGCATCTCTTTTTAGACTTTGTAAATATGTAGAAACACAAAACGACCCAGCAATTTTCCTCTGGCCCTTCTGTCCCCTTAGTCAACAAATAACACGTGTTCTCTTTCATACATGACAGAGAATGTAACATGTCTGGGGAGCGTGAGCAAGGGGTCATTTGCAAAATTGCCTTATTATCCTATTACTCTCCAGAAGCAAGTCTGTGACTTTTAGTCTCCGGGCGGTGGAGTTACACGCGATCGGCCCTTACGTGTATCTCTTGGTGGCTCGTTTACTGTGAAGTTAGAAGGAAAGACAGATGTTTAAAGGGGGAGCGTCCATCTTCCCAAGCGGCATTTTAAAGCCACCATTTCTGCAGGAACATGGGGTGAGGACAGGGCTGCAGGCTCCAGGGCCACTTCGGAGGCCATGCCAGGACAAGAGGCGTTTGTCAGCCGCCGGTTTGAGTGGGGGCGGAGGGCAGTGCCCAGTGGATGGCCCACCAACCCCCCCTGCCCCCCGCGGCGGCGTTTCTTGGACTGAGGCTGGTCACGCCTCATTAGTGGGTCATCAGATCAATTTAGTGGGTCATGACCAGGAATTTTAAGAAAACGTGAAATAAATTAGGCTGAAGCAGAAGAGAACAGGAAATATCAGAGAGCGTGGCATGGAGGAGGTCGGTACCCTCTGGTGTGTGTGCGACGGGGCCGTGTTTGCTACATCGACTTGCAGCGAGGGCGACGTGTTTGCTACAAGTTGCAGTGCAACATTATCTCTTACCGCAGGTCACAGCTAAAAACATTTGCGAGCCATGGCCTTGGAGACATGCAGCCCAACGCACATGTCTTGGTGCCGGCTTCAAAGTAACTTTCTAATCGAAAGGAAAAGGAATTCTTTCGAATGGGAAAGGCACCTCACAACCCTACGTTTAAACCATTTCTAAGCTATTCCGGATTCTACTTTTCCTCCTCCGAAAAATAACTCAGTCGAATCCCTCCTCTCAATGCAAGCCCGAGGCAGACATGAGGTCAGGCTGGTCCTTCTCCCGTGGGGGCACCCTGCCCGCCCCCCCCTCCGCCTAGGTGCCCCCCCACGTTGTTCATTCTCTTCCTTTTTCTAATCACATTCTCACGAGACCGCCAAAGGCCTCGCGCGACAGTATAGATGACTGATGAGGCTGTGAGGAGCCGGTGCTTCTATTCTAGCCAAATATTAAACCTCGTGCCCTATAAAAGAATCTCGTAGAATTTAGCTGCAGGGGGAGAAAAGAGAGAAATTCACAGAGTGTTTTCCCAGCACGCGTGAGGCCCTACTTCCTTCCGCCTACCAACATCGCCTTCATAAGTCTCCTTTTTTGCAGAAAAATAATAGGTGTGGTTTCTTCCCCCACGGATTTGTAACAGACAAGTTCGGTGTGCTTATTCTTTCAAATAGTTATTTATGAAACTGTCTTCCCATAAAATCTTTTGAGAGGAAATATATTTGTCTTACTCAACTTTGTATTTATCTTAGACCCAACTTACTGCCTGGCAAATCTGAGGTCCTCAATTAGTGGCAGTTAATGATTACTTATTACACAATCATGCTGCTCCGTCGCACATGTGGTGGCATTATTCCTCGGTGTCAAGCTAATAAGAGTACAAAGGCATGTTTTTTTTTTCCCCGAATATAGGAGTATTTTTGTAAAGCCTCTGCACACTTGTCACAGAATAATAATGACAATTTTTAAAGAGCGCCCATTCATTGAGTATGTGACGCGCCGCGTGCCAGGCCCTAGTACCTTCCCACCGAGTCTCACTTATTTCTTGCACAGCCTCCTCAGTAGAGGCTTGTGTCTGCCATAACCTGAACGCCACTCATATGATTTTACAGAGGAGAAAACGCGTCAAGAGAGAACGACAACCTGCCCCTGAGACGCGGATACGAAGCGGCGAAGACAGGACTCAAGTCCAGAAGGCCGCGCTTCCTGGTGTCGTGTTTCCTAACCCTTCGGTCGTCATTAAAACGGTCATTTTTGTTTTCATGTCAAGTTCCTTGCCTGTCTTCTTAAACACCAGGCTGGGAAGCCGCAGACACCAGGAAGGTTGTCTCTGTTCTTTATGGAAAAACACAGATTGTCACAGAGAGCGACACACTCAGACACCTCCGGCCTGACCGTGCCAGCTCAGCAGCCTGATGTCCCACCTTCACATGCAGTGATAAGGGACGGGAGAGAAACGAGGGGACTGTCGGCAGTCCCTACTGCACGCTGGTGGCATTCTAGTGACTTGTTGGGGTCCGTTCACATAACTTCTTGTTTCCACGTGTGAATCACAGCGCCTAAGGGTCCGCTGCGCAAAGCACTGTTTCCATTTGCTTTGGCTCAAGGCGCCTGGTCCCCAGGTCCGTCTACACTTAACAGAGACCCTTTAAGTGAAAAGCCTGCTTTGTGTTGTCTTCTCAGAGATTTAAAAATCTCCCCCGAGGCGATCAGAGACCACGAAGATTAAGCAGGCACATCGCCCACGTCACCCCTCACCCCACAACGGCCAAAGGAAGACACTGATTTTGTAAGATATACTTAGGAATCAAATCCAGAATTCACTTTTGTTTTTAAAACCGAGAGTGGAACCAGGGACTACCAAGCGTGGTCGGTTTGGTAGTCACTCTGAGAGTCTACCTTCTATGCAAACTTGCCCATATTAATTCCGTCTTAAGTTTCAGGAAATAAAATAATTATGTAGTTAAGCAGAGATCCTTATGCAAACAAGTCCCGTGTTTACAATGTACCAATCCATTAAAACCAACGACAGACATGGGTTCAGGGACCTGAAACCAGGGCCAAGGGGCCCCCCCCTGC